CTGGTTTGGATCTAAGGCAATACCACACCTTTACACCACGATACACCCGAGGCCCTTGGACCCTGCCCTCCATTACTTCCTCTTCATTTCCCGATGCCCTCCTTGACTTCTTTTGTCTTTTCTCCCTTTCACACTGATACTAACCTTCAAATTGCCTTGTTCCACATTCTGTCATCTGGCTAACCCTACTGAAAAGCACAGCCTGGATTTTCCAGCCAGTAGGAACCATACTTTTTGGCAAAATTAGGTGTTTAATCAATGTATGGAAAAGTGATGTCTCTCCTGTAAATTTCCCCTTTCACTGCTTTTAAGGTACTCCATGCTCTGACATCAGAACATCTCGCTTTATTCTCTAACACTCCCTTTAGACTAATTATACCCCCTTTAAACAAGAAATGCTGTGCCTTCTGAACATACCCCAGTGCTTTCCTGCTTCATACTTGCACTTAAACCTTTTTACTAGAATACTTTCTAATAATTTCTTTCTCTTTTGGATTCCTAAGTCTAAAGGCGCCATTTAAATCCTGTCCAGCAGTATTACTTGTCCCCTTGAAATGTGGGGGTTGTTTTCTGGATCTCTTTTTTATTTGTGCACATACTTGTCTTGGTGCTGTTATTTATACAGAAGCAATGACTCTAATATCCAGCATTTTGAAGTGCCTCTTGTGGTATCATTTCTCCCTGTGCCCATTGCATAAAACTTCAGGGGTTTCTCATGGCTTGCACAAATGTCTAAGAGAAATGAACATTTATCTGCAGTCTATAAGAAGGTGAGGGAGATTTTTCTCTTCTTTGAATAAAATTTTTGTTTTAGAGCCTGGCAAGCTCCTGAGAGTATCTCACATGTTTGCAATAGTCCTTCCTATGCCTAATGGTTTGTATTACATGGCAACGAGGTACTAAAGGGCTTGTTGACTTTTCAGAATCAAGAATTCTATATGTGGGGCATATTCCCCATTCTGGAAAGGTTTTGTAAAAGCATGAAAATGGAATATCCACCATTTCTGACATCTGTGGAGAGGAAGGCATTTCAACATTTGAAATGGCTGAGCTCTTTTCATATCTATTTTTTCTGGATGTGGAATATTCTATATGGAATACTCAGGATGTGGGAAGGAGAGGAAAGCTGCCACTGGGCGATAGTGAAAACTGGAAGTGAGTAACTCTGGGTGAAGTGTTCATTTCTCAAGCATGGCCAATCATTATGCCCACTGAGTTGGTGTGAAAATTTAGGAAAAATAAAACAAACAAACGAGAGAGTAAAGTGGATAATCTGTATATGTCCTCTCCAGAGGATTTTGCTTCTCAAAATAATGAAAATAAGGGTTTCCAAGCACAAAAATTTGTAAGTCTACAACTGTACCTCATGATGTCTCACTAATAAAAATTAGAAAAAAAGAAAAGAAAGTAAGGGTTTTGATATGTAGATAAGAACTGCCCAACATTTTATGTCTGCATAGTAGTCCCTAAAGGCAAAAAAGTAAAAAATAAAAAAATGGTTTTACAATTTCAAAGATTTGAATTGTTTATCTTCTGAGTTTACTTGAGATAAAAATCTAACTCTTTAGTGTTCATCTTATCCTGAAAGTATACTAATTTTTCCCTCATGATCTGTATGAGCTAATGTGATAAGCTGGAAATAACTTGAATGTAGAAAGGTGTTTGGAGAAGCTCAGTTTAATGCCTTGTTTTGTGTTTTTCCTTAACTGTGTGTTGTGGGATGGAAATGAACAGAGAATGAACCAAGAATGCAAGGAAGACCAGTGTGCGTCGCTTGTACCTAAAACAGTGATTTTTTGGAAGGACATGTCTACTCTGATCCATTGACAGAGTTTCTGAAAGATGGTTGGAACAGAAACTGCTGCTTTGGCTTTCAACATCTATCAAAACATCGACTTATTTCTGCACTGGAAATCATTATTTTCTTGATTACACATTTAATAAAAAGCATTGCTAAGTTAGAACAAGTTAAATACTTTTTTTCTTCACTGAGAAACTACTTAAAATTTTCTCAGTTAAAAAAATGTAGAGTTGTTTCTTCATTTTTTAAATCCAAGGGCTGGTTTTCTATATTGGTTAAATATATCTGAGATCCAGGATATTCTTGGAATATTACAAATGTGGATCATTTGAAAGGTTTCTATACCATGTAATATATTATTTTACATTACCTAAATAGCAATCCACAGAAGGAAGATCTCACTTGTAACTTATATGATGAGGCTGAAAAATTTCAGTAGGCTGTTTACTGTCACGAAACTGGACTGGAGTGAAGCAGTAATAGAACTTAAGTTTTCAGTTATGAGTTCAGGAAACTCTTCTCTTATACAATTTCAGAGAATTATTGCTTTTGGCTGAGGTGCATTGTGATATTATGGAAATGACATACTTTGCAATTTTCTGGTGGTTCAGATAGCACTTTATGCTCATTTAAATTTTCATCACTGTGACCTCTTAATAGGTGATGTCCTGTTATTCTTCCCTCTGATTATTAAAGTAATTAAACTTATTTTCCAGCAAAGCTTGAAGACCTGCCCTAAATATAATTAGTGGATTGAGAGGATGTATAAGAATGGCCCACTTTGTGTCTTTTTTCCAGTACCGACTCTCATGAATGTAATTTAATGTTGTATTCAAAAGTGTAAATTTTGCTGATAAAATTTACATAGTTGTGTGTGAAGACTAAGCCACTTTTTAAGAATTATCTTTGTTGGTTATGAATAACATATGCTGTCGCGTGGCTGCAGTAGGGCCATGTGATTTTAAAATTACTGTTGCCCTTTTAGCAGATCTGAGTGTTGGGGTAAAAATCTCAAATAATAATGGTGGGTCTAGTGTCAAAATATTGAATGTGATCAAAGTAGAGAGAGAGTAATGTGGAAATCATCTGTCCCACAGGTAGGGGGAGGGTGTGGAATGGGGGTATACTGGGGTTTTTGGTGGTGGCGAATGGGCACTGGTGAAGGTACGTTTGTTTCATTGTATGACCGAGACTTAGACTTGAAAGCTTTGTAACTGCTCTTATGGTGATTCAATAAATAAAATCATAAAAAATGAAAAAAAAATTATCTTTGTCATATGACCACTCATAATTGTACTGCTTACAGAACAAGAGTTGATTCTTCCTGATATCCTTAGCCCAGCAGAGCTCAATACATAGTTTCTACTTAAAGCTGATAATTTTGTCTGGCTATGAAATGACTTTCAATGGAGCATGATGTTCTGATGAAGAGATGTTTAAAGAAAGTGGCTGATTTTACTCATTCCTGGGTATATTGAGATATAGCCTTTCAATCATCTCTTTGTCTTTTCCCTCCCCTTATAAACATAACCTCTTCAGGTATTTTTATATAGACCCCTCCCACCTTTTTTGCTGTTGTTGTTAGGTTGGGGGGCAACACCCACAGTACTCAGGGCTTACTCCTGGCTCTGCAATTAGGGATGACTCTTGGTTCACTCCTAGCTCTACAATTAGGGATGACCCTTGGTGGGTTTCCAGGGGCCTATATGAGAATCTGGGGGTACAGCTCGTGTTGGCCACTTGCAAGGCAGACCCCTAACCTCCTGTACTCTCTCGCCTGCCCCAGACTACCCTTTAATTTATATATTTAAGTTTTTGAGTGAAGTATATATTTAAGTTTTTGAGTGAAGTTCTGTGATTTAAAATACTGTTAATGATGGTTTGTCATGGACAGAATTCCACACTATACACCCCTTAGAGCTGGTAGACAAAGTATTCAGGCAAAAAAACATTAGTTTCATTGTCACAGAACCTCAGAGAAATGAAAAAGAAATTGCTTTCCCCTCCACTCAGTGCTTTTGAGGAATAAGCAAAAAATCATGCACTTTAGATGAAAAATACAGATATTATCATATAATTGTAATATTTTTCCACATAAGCTCTTATTTAGTTGAGCGTATTTCCATTTACTATAACATATATGATCAGAATGAGGAAAAGGAATGTAAATACTTAGAAAAAACCTCTAGCATTAGTTAAAGCACTGTTTTTGGAGGGAGGTTGAGTTGAGCCTTACCCAGCAGTGCTTAAAGGTTATTCCTGGCTCTGCACTGAAGAATTAGTTCTGGCAATACAGACACATGGCATGCCTGGGATTCAACCCAGGTCCACCATAAGCAAGGCAAATGTCTTACCCAGTGTTCTTTCACTCCAGCCCAAAGGCTCCCCTTTTTAAAAATATATATAAAATATTTTGTAAAGTCTTGGAACCTAACAATATTCTTTATTTAAAATTTTATTTCCCTGTCACGCTGTCCTCTCATTTTTCATTGATTTGCTGAGCGGGCCCAGTAACGTCTCCATTGTGAGACTTCTTGTTACTGTGTTTGGCATATTGAATACCCTCAGTAGCTTTCCAGGCTCTCTAGGAGGGGTGGAGGAATCAAACCCAGTTTGACTGGGCTGGCTGTGTGCAAGGCAAATGCCCTACTGCTGTGCTATCACTCCAGCCCATATAATTATAATTTTTTTAATAAATCAAAAAAATCTATCTATTTATTTATTGAATAGCCATTAGCTGTATTTGTAAAGCCTTTATGTTTGAGTTTCAGTCATACAGTGATTGCACACCCATCCTTCCACCAGTGCATATTTTCCACCCCGACTGTCCCTGGTATCCCTTCCAACACCCACACCGTATCCCACCCCCTGTTTCTCTAGCAGGCACCTTCTTTCTTATGCTCTCTCTACTGTGGGCATTATTTTTCACAATACAGGTAGTGAGAGGCCATCATGTCTGGTCCTTTATCTACTTTCAGCACACATCTCCCATCCTAGCAATCCTTCCAATCATCATTGACTTAGTGATCCCTTCTCTATCCCAGCGGCCTTCTGCCCCAGCACCTAACAGTATTCTTAAGAAAATTCAAGCTATTGGATATAAAAACACATTTTGGGAAGTTTTTATGGTTATAGAATGAAAATGAGCCAGATATGAATCTCGAGATATGGACAAATCCTATCTTCTTCTTCCTCCTAGGTGGCCATGTTTGTGCTTCAGCTGGGCCGAGCCACGTTCCTGGTCACAGAGCCTGTGATCAGCGCAATGACAACTGGAGCTGCCACCCACGTTGTGACTTCACAAGTCAAGTATCTCTTGGGAATCAAGATGCCGTATATATCTGGACCCCTTGGATTCTTTTATGTGAGTTTTCCATATGTCTTTGCTCATGCATTCTGGGTGTGTATGTGTTTCACAAAGCAGAATTTGCAATTGCAGTGCAGATATTTTTCTATATTAAAGCATCTTGGGCTTACATGAAAATTGGAGGATATTTAAGTTGTGATCCAGGGTATGAAAATAGATTAATGAGTAGTACCTATGAGTCTTGGAAGAGGTTATTTATAATAAACAATTGAATATGATAGGATTTGAGGAGATGAGTAAGAAAAAAAAATTGTGTATGTGTGCACCAGATGTCACCGCTTCTAATGGAAGCCATCTACTGGAATTGTGGCTGAACTACACAACATGACTACATTCTTTCAGTACTGTCAAGTTTATTTTGGCTAATGTTATAGATCTATTCAGAATTGGTAGCTGGACCTCCAAGAGTTGACAATAGTTATTAAAAGCCATGTGAACCCCAGGGAGATGCAGCTGGACCTGTGGCCAGTTGTGTCATATTGTCTTAATAATCGTGCATTGTTTTTGGTCTTGGTTGAAGGAACAATTATATCTATGCTTTGTAAGTCAAATGCTATTTCAACTTCATCAAGAAGTTAATGAATCTAAGGACAAATAAACTTCTTTTTAACTAATTTTGTGTTCTATGGGAGAAACATGTATTTTTCTTCTGTTCTTTGAGGTGCTTACTAAGGTTTCACATTAAGAGATAAACAAATGAAAAATGAATTTATGCACATGTATATATCTCATGTAGACCTGAGAGATACTCAAGAATGCATTACTGAAAAAAAATGGCTTAGAACTTGGGTTGAAATACCATCTCCAATGAAAACAAAGAAAGAAAGCTGGGGAGAAAGTTATGGGAGTAACTTCCCAACACTGCCAGGTGTGGCCTGAGAGACTCAAGTAACAACTTGTGTGGTCCAGGTTTCTCGGACACAGTATGTCCAAGAAGTGTCATATCTTATTGTCTTGCACTAAACTGAGCAGAGCATCCCTGGTGGGATTTCTGGACCTCCCTAGTTCTTCTTAGGAATATCCTACCACTCTCCCCTCAAATCATTACGAAAGTACCCAGGAGGAAGGTTTGTAACACAGATTTAAGTTGGCAATTTCATTGTGAGTCTCTTGTAATTTACTTATACTTTTCTTTCCTGTACTGTTAGGAAGAGATTCTTAAAATGAATATATTCTCCATGAATGCAAATTATTTTATGAAAGGACAATTTAAGACACCATTTTCTGAACCACGTCTTACTCAAAGTCATAAACTGAAAATAATTTTCAATAATCTCAAAATAAGTTGAAACCAACTCTACGGGGGCATGGAGATAATACAGCCTTTGAGACATGTGGCTCATTTTCTAGTACTGCATGATTCCTCAAACGTTTCCAGGTGCAGCTCTGGAGACTTCCCAACACGGCCAGGTGTGGCCTGAGAGACCCAAGTAACAACCTGTGTGGTCCAGGTTTCTCCGACACAGCAGTGTCCAAGAAGTGCCATATCCTCTTGTCTTGCAATAAACTGGGCAGAGCATCACTGGTGAGATTTCTGGACCTCCCTAGTTCTTCTTAGGAATATTCTACCACTCTTCCCCCAAATCATTAACCCGAGAAGCATATTTGGGGGTGGCCTTTTCTAACTCCTACTAAGGTACATTTATTTATTTATTTATTTATTTATTTGCTTTTTGATCACACCCAGCAAAGCTCAGGGGTTACTGTTGGGTCTGTGCTCAGGAATTACTCCTATCAGTGCTCGGGGGACCATATGGGATGCCAGGGATTGAACCCGGGTCGACCACATGCAAGGCAAACATCCTACCCACAGTATTATCACTCAGGCCCACTAATGTACATTTAACATTGTGCTATGTACTAAATACATTCATACTTTACAATGAGAGGATTCTCATCCCGATTTTCTGGCTCTTAGTAAAGAAATAAGTAGACAGGAGCTCAATATATGTGGTTTCATTGAGTTTTTTTTTAATCTAATTTCTGTTATTGAAATGTTTTGTGGTGTTCCAAATGCTACCCAGTTCTGTAAATATTTACCCTTCTTCTCTGTCATTTGCATCATTGATGATTTCACTAGGATAAAATACTAACAATGGACATACTGGATCCAAAGTGTGGGTATGCTATTTGGGAGCAAATTTTACTTTGAAAACTTATATCAGTTACCATTTTACCATAAGTATCTCATAAGTATCAGTTCTTATTATGTCCTTAAAAATCTACCATCTTGATATATGAAAAATAATATTATCTCTTTGTATAGATGTGTGCTTGATTAGATGGTAGTTACTGAAGAGAGGAATTGATAACAGGCAGCTAGACTCTGTCCCTGAAGTTTTGTCATTTTGATAATATCTTGCTGAACGATTCATTTATTATAAGAAAGCTTCAATCTAAAATAAGAGCGCTGGAAGTTGGCCTGGAAGCAACTTCAGTCCAAGTTTCAGATCAAACAAAGTAGCTGTAAGCTGTCAGGTGACCAGCCAAGTTAAGACTTTTGGTGATACCAGGTCTACATAACAGAACTAAATTCATGCTAGAGAATGCCTCATTCCCCGAGTGGGAGTGACATAACCACACGTGGTAAGGAAAGACAGTTTGTGCAAATTACAAGTTGGCAGTTCAGTCTTATTCAAAGAAATAACCATTTCTTCTTGTGTGAAAAGAAGCAGGTAAACCTGATTGAATGACCTTGGTCTTTCAGCCTGTTTCTCCTATGGCAGTGTACACTGCATGCTACATTGAGGGTTGAGTCTGTGATGTATCTTTAGAGTTTGTTTCCTTGGAAGGTCAATTTTGAGCTGCCTGAACTGTCTTGGAAGTCAGACATTGCGACTTTCCAGGGCGGGGGGGAGGGGGGGATATTTTGTGAGTCCTCACACCCACACCGAAAGGGAATCTCATTTAGGCATTTCTTTTGCTAGGGTTGATTTTCGAAAAGCAGACTGAGTTGGTGATAGCGCCTCTGCTTTTTTTTTTTTTGCCCCAGTTGTCAAAGAACAGGTTCATTTTTTTTTTATCATTTTTTTTATTAGTGAAACACCATGAAGTACACTTATAGACTTATAAATTTTTGTGCTTGGGTTTCAGTTATACAATGATCAAGTACCCATCCCTCCACCAGTGCCCATCCTCCCCCACCACGGGTCCTAGCATCCCTCCCCCCCCATCCCCCCCCCCCCCCCCCCCCCCCGTCCCACCCTGCCGCTGTGGCAGGGCATTCCTCCCTGTTCTCTCTCTCTTCTTTTGGGTACTGTGTTTTGCCAGAGAGGCATTGAGTGGCAGTCATGTTTGGTCTATAGACCACTTTTAGCATGTCTCTCCCACCCTGGGAGGGTCTTCACAACACCCTTTATTTGGTGCTCTCTTCTCTATCTGAGCTTCCTTCTCACCTAGCACGTGTGAGCGCCTCTGCTTTGTGTTGATAAAAACCTAAGAAAAGCTGCTTTTGCTTTTCAATGTCACAGTCCTGTTCTCTTCTATAGTTAGGTCAGAGGAAGCTTTGGTTCTTTGCTAACATTTTAAAGTGAATAATATTGCAGTGGCGATGATGAAAATTGTGGGGATCCAAGCATTGTATAAGAAATAAAACTGTGGGGTGTTGGAAAGATAGCAGAAGGACTAAGGTACAGTCTGAGGATATGACTGCTAAGACCAATGTGGAATCCTGGGCTCCAAAACGGTACCTGCTATGTTGTACTGTTTCTTGGCCTGACTATATGCTTTCAGAAAGCTGCTTGTGCAAATGAGAGATAAAGAATGTCACTGGTCTACCTTATAAAATTAATCAATGTGTACAATAGTTGATACTTTTACATAATAGGCCAGTTACCACTCCTAACACAGAGTCATTTAAAATTCCTTTTTTTTTCCTTTTTAAAAATAAGGGTTGGCCGGGGCTGGAGCTGTAGCATAGTGGGTAGGGTGTTTGCCTTGCACGCTGCTGACCTGGGTTTGATCCCCAGCATCCTATATGGTCCCAGAGCAAGACAAGGGTCAGTACTATCTGGACCTGCTGTAATATCTTTCTCGCCCCATATGGCTATTTTTTAAAAAATTTTTATTAGTGAGACATCCTGAGGTACAGTTGCAGACTTACAAATTTTTGTGCTTGGGTTTCAATTATACAATGATCAAATACCCACCCCTCCACCAGTGCCCATTTCCCACCACCACGGATCCCAGTATCCCTTCCACCCTCCATTCCCCCACCCACCCTGCCTCTGTGGCAGGGCATTCCCTTTTGTTCTCTCTCTCTTGTTGGGTGTTGTGGTTTGCAAAAGAGGCAATGGGTGACAATCATGTTTGATCTATAGTCTACTTTCAGCATGCTTCTCCCATCCTGGGAGGATCCTTCCAATATCTTCATTTGGTGTTCCCTTCTCTATCTGAGCTCCCTTTTCCTCTAGCATGTGTGGTTGGCCTCCGAGCCATGGAGTAAAATTCCTGGTACTAATCTCGGCCATTGTTGGGTGTTAGTCTCCTATTTTGTTACTCTATGTTCTCCAGATGAATGCAGTCTTTCTATGTCTATCCCTTTCTTTCTGAGTCATTTCGCTTAACATGATACTTTCCATGTAGTACCACTTGTATGTAAATTTCATGGCTTTTCTAACAGCTACATAGTACTCCATTGTGTAACTATACCAAGGCATATTGCTATTTTTAAAAGTACTATTTAAGTAATGTAACTCTTTAATTTTTTCTATGCATATTTGAAATAAGATAAAGCTGGGCAATAAAAAAGCCATATCCCTCTTGCTAAATTATAAAGATAACTAAGATTTATAAATTTATAACTAAGATTCATAAACTCTTTTGAAATCAAATATATCTGCAATTAATAAAAGTTGGTCATTTGAATTGAATCAATATTAGTGGTTTTTTTTCATGGTTATGGGAGCCTAATTTTATCTTATTTTATTTTTTTATGTTTTTTTTTAAATTTTTTGAAATGGAGCCCATGAGGTGCAGTTACAGACTTACAAACTTTC